TCATAGACACCCCATATAGGGTTTCTGAGAAGTGACTGGTAGCTTTGAACTGCCAACCTTGCAGTTAGCATTTTACTGCTTATCTTTCAGTGTTACACCACGACTCCATTTGATAGATTGTTCTTGTTGTTGTTAAGTGTCCTTGAGTCAGTTGCAAGGGTTTCCAAGGGGCAATTAGTGAGCTTGAAGTGCCAACCTTGCAGTTCAAACCGACTTTGCAGTCCAGCGCATTAACCCACAGTGCCACACCAGGGCTCCTATTTGATAGATTGGTGGTGGTTGGTGGTTATATGCCGTGGAGTCGGTTCCGACTCATAGCAACCCTGTACAGGGTTTCCAAGGCTGTGAATCTTTACAGGAGCAGAAAGCCTCATCTTTCTCCCACATAACCACTGGTAGTTTCAAACTGCTGACCCTGAGGTTAGCAGCCCGATTTGTAACCACTACTCTACCAGAGGCTCCTTATTTTGAGGGGCGGGGCGGGGGGGGGGCTCTAAAATGTAGACTTCAGTAAGTGCTTCATTTTCAACAAGTCCACTGGTAAGATCTGCATTTAAAAAAGGGCAAACTAATTATGTTTAACATCACATTTTTTAAGCTAATTTGACTATGAGGCTTTCTCTTTTCTAGAATATTGAGTAAAGTATAAAACAGCTATCTTCAAAATGTAGTCTGAGAATCGCTTAACATCTCTGAGATCTTTTTCAAGGGTTCTGTGAAGTCAAAACTGTTTCATAGTAATACTAAAACATTATTTTCTGTTTTATTCTCATTCTCTCATGAGTAGAGACTAGCAGAGTTTCTCAGAGGCTACATAACGTACAGTATCGTAACAATTAAATACAGAAGTGGATCTAAAGCTGGACTATATGAAAAGAAGGCTGGCGGCATCAAGATTGGAGAAAGGCTCATTAATAACCTGCGACATTCAGATGATAGAACCTTGCTTGCTTCTGAAAACCAAGAGGACTTGAAGAACTTATTGATGAAGATCAAATAACAGAGCCCTCAGTATGGATTATAATTCAATGTAAAAGAAACAAAAATCCTCACAACTGGACCAATAAATAACATCATGATAAATGAGGAAAGACTGAAATTGTCAAGGATTTCCTTTTACTTGGATCCAAAATCAGTGCTCAAGGAAGCAGCAGTCAAAAAAATCAAACAGCATATTACATTAGGCAAATCTGCTGCAAAAGACCTCTTTAAAATATTAAAGAGCAAGGCTGTCTCTTTAAGGACTAAAGTGTGCCTGATCCAAGCCAGGGTATTTTCCATCACTTCATGTGTATCTGAAAACTCCATAAAGAATAAACAGACTCCTTAGCAGAATTGATACATCTGAATTACGGTGTTGTCAAAGAATATTGAAAGTGCTGTGGACTGCCAGACAAATAAAGAACGATGTCTTCAAAGAAGTACAGCCAAAATGCTCCTGAGAAACAAGTATGGTAAGGTTTTGTCTCATGTATTCTGGACATGTTATCAGGAGGGACCAGACCCTGGAGAAGGTAAAGCAGAGGGTCAGTGAAAAAGAGGAAGACCCCCAGCAAGACAGATTGGTACAGCAGCTGCAACAATGGGCTCAAACATGGCAACAATTGTGAGGATTGGCACTAGACTGCAAACCACAGGGTTGACAGTTCAAACCCACCAGCTGCTCGCTGGTAACCCTATACAGGGTTGCTATGAATTGGAACTAACTCAATGATACTTAACAACAACACTTACTATTATGGACCCTGGTGTGGTACTGGGCTGTTAATCATAAGATCGGCAGTTCAAACCCACAAACTCCTCTCAGAAACCCTATGGAGTCTCTATGAGTTGGAATCCAGTTGACAGCATACAATACCACCAACAGTAACTTACTATCATGCTAGGAAATTAGGATCTAGAGGTGAATGTTGTTGTGAAGTGCCATCAAGTTGGTTCCGACCCACAGTGACCCTGGATAGGGTTTCCGAGGAGCAGCTGGTGAGCTTGAACCACCAACCTTGCAGTTCAAAGGGCTTTGCAGTCTGGTGCATGAACCCACAGCGCCACACCAGGACCCCAGCAGTTAAATCTTTGAATATGTGGAGATGATACTGACAAATGAATAAATGAATATGTAAATAGAAAAATACACAGTACCTTTGAAGGAGCAACAAACAGACTGACAAGTGGGGTTTCCAATGGAGTTCGGAAGACAGAATGCAATGACATCTTTAGAGTAATGAAGGTAAACAACTGCCAAACAGCAGGCATGAAACTACTCGATCAAACGCACATGGACATGATGCAGAGACTGGAGAGACTTTCTTGCGACCTGAGGATCAAAATGTCATAGAATTACAAAAAAAAAAAAAAAAAAGTGTATTAAACATTGGAATGGTGGTGGTGGTTATGTGCTGTGAAGACAATTCCAACTATAGTGTATAGGGTTTCACAAGCTGTAGTCTTTATCAGAACAGAAAGTCTCATCTTTCTCCCTTGGAGCAGCTGGTAGATTCAAACTGCTGACCTTACTGTTAGCAGCCCATCCTGCCAGAACTCCTTAAACATTGTATACAGCCTCCTTTAAAAGAGTGGAAGGACTATTCACACACAATTCAGCCCATTAACAGAAACTAAACCTAAAATCATTCTAGGTTTAGTTTCTGTTAATGGGTTGAATTGTGTGTGAATGTAATCCAATTTGGGAATACGGTTTTGTTATGTTAATGAGGCCACATTAATGTGATGTACCCTGGAGTCGGTTTCAAGTCATAACCACCCTGTACAGGGTTTCCAAGGCTGTACATTTTTATGGGAGCAGAAAGCCTCGTCTTTCTCCCACGGAACAGCTGGTAGTTTAGAATCTCTGACCTTAAGGTTTGCAGCCGGATTTTTAACCACTACACTACCAGAGCTTGTTAATCTGTGTTGGGTGTATCCTAAAACTAGAAACCTAATCAGTTTTGTGTTATATAGAAAGAGATGTTAGACACAGAAGCCAACAGGACAAGGGATTGCTAAGGAAGCAAGGAACACAGGAATTACAGAAGCTGACAGAGACAAGGATCTTTCCCTGGAGAAGAGACTTGCCCTGAATTTGAATGTTTACCTTCTTAACTGTGAGAAGTTCTGGTGTAGCACTGTGGAATAAAGCACAGCACTGAAAGGTTGGTTTGAACCACAAGGTTGGTGGTTCAAACTCACCAGCTGTTCCTTGGAAACCCGGTACAGGGTTGCTATGAGTCGGAACTGATTCGATGGCACTTAACAACAACTGTGAAAAGGATAATGCTCTAGACGGCAAGGTCTGTTTGAACTGCAAGGACAGTGGTTCAAATTCACCAACTCTCCTTGGAAATCTTATACAGCATTGCTAGGAGTCGAAACTGACTCAAGGGCACTTAACAATAACTGTGAGAAAATAACTTTCTCAACTTTAAAGACACCTACTTATGATACTTGTGTTACAATAGAATTAGCTAAGAGTTGCTATAACATATTTTTAAAAAATCTTTGATTCTAATAAAGAATAAAATGTAGAATAAAATTTATATAGCATAAAATATAATATATATAAAAAGAATAAAATATAAAACTGTTTCCTGAATGCTGTTGTTGTTAAGTTCCCGTAGAGTAGGTTCTGACTCAAAGCCACCCAACATAGGGTTTACGAGGAGTGTCTGGCTGCTGAGTTTGAACTGTCAACCTTGTGATTCAAACAGACCTTGTGGTCAAGTGCTTATCATACAGGATTAAAAAACAAAAACAACAACCTAGTAGCTTCCTGAATTAAAGAAACAAATGAAAAGTAGGAAAGTGGGTAAGGATGGCCTGGAATATTTGTGTTATTTATATTGTTGAAGTTTGGGATTTTTTTTCTTTTCTTTCATGATCAAATTTGATATGCATACACATTTCAATACTAAAACATTTAAAGCCACCAACAAATTATTTCGTTTGCATGTGTCCATTTTTATCCAACTAGTTGGTTTTTGTTAACACTGTTGAGGTATAAGTGTTCAACTTACAAGGAGAGTTAACAACTCAAGAGATGTGCTATTTGTGATCAGTTTTGTCTATAGAAGCGGCCATTCGACAGCTACTGAGAAAGAGGATATAAAACAAATAACACTTAAAAAAAAAAAAGTGGAAACATCTTAACTTTCATACACGTGTAAATTGGCCAGCACTTCCCTTCCCTCTCTTTGAAGAAGATCAGATTTTGTTAGCAATGCTAATAGTTCCATTTTCACACCAAAGGGCACAATTCTGAATAAAGTTTTTAAAGAGCTGAAAGGTTTCTTAAGCAAAACAAAACACCCGCCCCCCAAAAACAAACAAACAAACCCAGAAACTCAGTTAAGCTCATCTTTAACCTCTTTCCTGACATTAGGTCCTGTGAACCCTTCTGGGTTGTTGGCTTCTGGAATGCAAACCCTGCACCACTTTCTTTTTAAAGTTAGAGTTGTTGTCATAAAGGTCCATCTTGCCCATTCACAGACTCTTGGAGCCTTTAGAGGAGGTTCTGGAAATTTCTATGTTTGCCCCAATACATAGTTCAAAACCTATATTTGAAACCATGATAGAAGTCCAACCCTCTGGACTACTGATGATGTTTTGTGTGTGTTTTGTGGGGGGCTCATATAGGAAGGGCCTAGTGATCCTCTGGTCTAAATCTTATGGAAGCAGGGATGCAAACTGCTGAGCGAGGAATGTCCCTGAGTTAGCCCTTATCCTTTACCCAGTGTGGATGGGCAAGAGAAGCAACCCACATCTTCCTCCTCTTAGCGGCCGGTGGGAGGGAGTGAGAAAGACAGGGAGGAAGAAAGGAAGGGGAGCTGGAGGTGGGAGTGGAAGAAGCAGCCGGCCCCGGGCCTGATTGGCTCACTCATCCAGCCCTCTCGGAGCGGTTTATAAGAGTAGCGGCGACCACGCTCGCCCGCGCGCTCCAGGAGTCGGCACCTCGTGCTCGAGGCCCCGCCAAGTCCTGATAGGGCTCCACCGCGGTCCGGGGAGTTTGCGGTCGGCAGAGCAAGAAAGGGAAGCGGCGCGAGAGGGAGGGAGGAGAGCGCCCAGCGAACGGGGCCGAGCGCGATGCGCCGCGCCAGCCGAGACTACACCAAGTACCTGCGCGGTTCCGAGGAGATGGGCAGCGGCGGCTCCGGCGCCCCGCACGAGGGCCCTTTGCACGCCCAGCCGCCGCCCCCGCCCGCGCCACACTCGCCCCCCGCCGCCTCCCGCTCTCTGTTCGTCGCCCTCCTGGGGTTGGGGCTGGGCCAGGTCGTCTGCAGCGTCGCCCTGTTCCTCTACTTCCGAGCGCAGGTGAGTGTGCCCGACTGCTCCGGAGCGCGCACGGCCCTCGTTCCTCCAGGAGTTGGGGTCTCTGAGTTTAGTTCCTCAGACCTTCGGTGCCCAGGCGGGAAAAGTGGGGAGAGCCGGACGCTGGTCTGCGCTGGTCTGCGCTGAGGGTCAGCGGGGCGCTCTCGCCGCTCCAGCGGCACACACACCTCTGCTCCTCCGCACGCTAACCTGGGCTGCTCTTGCCTGGCTGGTTTGAATTTCCCCCGTGAAACGGCATTGGCTGCTCACCGCTTTTTTAAAACACTTTTAGTGTTTGCAAACGTTTTTCCACCCCAGTGTTTCATTTTTTACTTGGAGGTAAGAACCAACTCAATGAGTAGCAACGGACTCAATGGCAAATGATTTGGTTTTGTTTAAAACACAGTAAAAAACAAACAAAAAAAACAGAAGAAAAGAAAGCTCCTTCGTTTAAGCTTCAACCATTTCCCTTCCCGCCCACCACGCGGGAAATTTTGGTTTCTGTGGATGGCTGCTTTTCGGGTCTTCTCTGGCTTGAGGTGCAGCGGCGTCTATGCGAAAGGTGGCAGGGCCTGAGGCGGCTGGGGTTGCCTACATGGGCCCAATGGCACAGCTGAGCAGCCCGGTTGAGAGGAAGTGGGCTCAGTTACTGCAGCTTACAGTGAGGGTGAAGGAGACGAGAAGGTGGACATAGGAAGAAAGCAAAAGTGGGGGTGGTGTGTGTGTGTGTGGGGGGGGGGTGTTTGGGAGGTAGTAATGAAGTTTCTTTAGCAGATAACCAGCCTTTTAATAAATGAAGCAGGCCTGCGAAGGCTCAGAACGGCAGGAAGATAGTAGAAAGGAAGGGGTAAATTTGTAATATTATGCTGTCTGGTGGTTTATGCTCTGTGTTTTCTTGGAAATTGCAGTGCCGTGCAGTTGGTTGGATTCATTCAAATATTGTCTGGTGTTGTGCACTCTTTCTCAGAGGAAGTGGGGGGCTGACTGTGCAGTTTTTTTATGGGAAAAGAAAGCGAGTTGGGTTTGGACTTAATTTGTTTTTAAACTCAAAGGTGATTACTTAACCAAACTGGATGCACCAAAACGTGGCATTACTTGGGTTGTGTAGGTTTTTGGCATATGCTAGCATTTTGGACACCATGACTTTTAATCTTAGTTGGAGTTTGTTAACCATTCATTATCCACTTAGTTTGATTTAAAAAAACTATTTAACAAAATAGTTTGTAAAACTATTGAGATTATCTGCTAAAACAAAAGTAGAAATGCTATGAGTACTCCAAAAATTAATATAAGAAATCATCTTTACCTGTTGAGGAACTATGATTTTTCCTAAAAAGGTTCTTTTGAGTGGTTGACTTGCAACATACATTGCACAAATCTGTATGAAAGTGAGGAAATCATTTCCTTTCGTTGTCATACATTGCAGTCTAGTTATTTTCCCATCCTATGTTTTTTCCTTCCTACTTTATTGTTTGCTTAGGTGCCATTGACTCCATTCTGACTCATAAGGACCCCATGTGGCAGAGTAGAACTTCCTTACAGGCCTTTCTTGGCTGTGATTTTTGTGGAAGGAGATCACCAGGTATTTCTCAAAGGAAGTGGTGGGTTGGTTCAAACTGCTAAGCTTTCAGAGAGTGGCTACATGCTTAACTGCTGTGCCACCAGGGCTCCTTCCTCCGTGTTTAATGCTTCTGCATTGAGTGACTCCATTATGCATGGCACAAAGGAGCTCTGGTAGCATAGTGGTTACGAAACGGGCTGCGACCCGCAAGATCAGCAGTTCAAAACTATCAGCAGTTCCGTGGGAGAAAGATTAGGCTTTCTGTTCCTGTAAAGATTTACAGCCTTGGAAACCCTGTACAGGATCACTATGGGTTGGAACCGACTCGATGGCACTTAACAACGACAACAACATTAAATACTATGGAATATGAGCTAAAAATCATTTATTTAACATATATTGTGCACCTACTATGTGCTTAGGAGTGTGGTGGCTCCATAGGATAAGCACTGGACTGGGAGTCAAAGGGTCAGCAGTTTGAGTCCATCATCCGCTCTACTGGTAAAAGATGAGACTTTCTGTTCCTGCAAAGATTATAGCTTCAGAATTCCTATATTGGGTTACTATGAGTCACATTAACAATAACTATGTGCATGGCATATAAAGATGATTTATAGAGTCCTGTCTTTCGGAGGTGTGTAACAACAGAAAAAACTCTAAAAATCTTTTCATCTAAAAGAGGGCAGCATTCAGAAAAGGGCAAGAACATACAGTAGTTCTTTACCTTATATTTTTTTCCTTAGGGACATGACCTTTTCATAGCAGTAACTGAAGTGAGTGCTGGAAGAATGGGAGGGAATGAATGTGAGTTCTGGAAGCTGTGTGCAGTGTAGTTTGGCCCATGGAATTGGTGTGACCATGTTGGAAAGAATGACCAGCTGAGCTCTTATTATAACTTTCCTATAGGAACTCTCAAGGAGCTCGGGTAGTGTAGTGGTTACGAGTCAGGCTGTTAATCTCAAGGTTAACAGTTCAAAGCTACCAGCCGTTACATGTGAGGAAGTTGCTCCTGTAAAGATTTACAGCCTTAGAAACCTCATTCAGGATCACTATAAGTTGGAAGCGACTCCACGGCACATCACTACAACAACCATAGGAATTCTCAGTATTAATGATCTGACCTTCTGATGATCATTTATAACTTAGTCAGGTGGTCTTGCTGACACATGGATAATAGGACAACTCTCAAAGGCGTTTTCTAAAACAAACCTGTAAGTTAGTAAACCCCTCTCTAGAAAATTCTCATTTGGAACGTATAATATCATTAGATTACTGTTTTATCAAATGCCATGAAGACTGGGTTTCTCTACGACTTAATGTAGAATATTGGAGTTGTTACTCTGTACACAGTTTTGTACTGCATTTTTAAAAGGTCATCTCCTTAGTGGAGAAATAGTATTTGAAGTACTGTGTTCCTATCTTTAGATCTGGTTGCATTTTACTGGATGTTATATCCATACCTAAAAGCATTGCACCCATTCAGGGAGGCATTCTGAAATATTTACAAAGGAAAGATAGTGGTGTGTGAAGTTTGTTTTAAAGCAGTTGTTGGAGAGCGTAGGGGTTAGGGAAGTGGCTAGGAATAGAAGAAACAAGACTGGCCATGGGTTGATGATTGTTGAAGCAGGGTGATCAGTAGATGAGGCTGGACTCTGGTGTCCTTGCTATTTTCATCTATGTTGTTGTTAATTGCCGTCAAGTTGGTTCCGACTCATAGTGACCCTATATAGGATTTCCAATGAGCAACTGGTGGGTTTGACCTGCCGATCGACCTGCCGATCTTGCAGTTCAGACTAATCTTTTGGTCCATTACTTTATTTTACAGTGCCACACCAGGACTCTTTTAGTATATGCTGGTGGTGGCTTTGTGCCGTAAAGTTGGTTCTGACTCATAGCCACCCTGTATAGGGTTTTCGAGACTATAAATCCTTATGGGAGCAGAAAGTTCTTCCTCTTTATCTGCAAAGGTGTCAGCAATCCAATTTGTAATCCACTGTGGAGTTTGGCTGCTAACCTCAGGGTCAGCAGTTTGAAAGTACCAGCCATTCTGCAGGAGAAAGATGAGGCTTTCTGCTCCCCAGCTTTGGAAACCCTATACAGTGTTGCTATGAGTCAGAATCCACTCCAAGAACTACAGCCCCTCCGCCCGACACACACACCAGGATGGAGCTACCAGGTTATGTTTTGGACCGCTAACTGCAAGGTTAGCAAGTTCAAGTTATCCAGGGGCTCCACGGGAGAAAGATGAGGCTTTCTGCTCCCACTAAGATTGGGAGTCCTAGTATGATGCTGTGGCCCTAACGCGCTGGAATGCAATGTTGGTTTGAACCACAAGGTTGGTGGTTTGAGCTTACCGGCAGCTTATCAGCTGCTCCTTGGCGATCCTATGTAGGGTTGCTATGGGTCAGAACCAACTCAATGGCACTTAACAACAACAGCAACAATAACTCTACTAGGGTTCCTTACATAAGAAATCATAGGGCTCCCCCCCCCCCCCATTAAAGTTGTGGGTCATCTACTTGGAGTTTCTGAAATCATTTGAATGACAGCGAAGTCATCTAGTAGCAGGTGAGACATCTGCAGGTTACATACAGTGAAGAAACAGAAAAATAAGCCAGTTTTATAGGATTTGTTTAAAGAAGCTATGCATATCTTCAAAAAAGAGCAGTTTAATTTAATTTAAAGTATATAAGGAAGAATGCCCAGCATGTTGCAGAATGTTGTTAAGTGCCTTCGAGTCAATTCCGTCCCATAGCGACCCTGTATAGGGTTTTCGGGGAGCAGCTGGTAAGGTTGAACTGCCGACCTTGCAGGCTTTGCAGTTTGGCACATTAATCCACAGCACCACACTAGGCCTCTCTCTCTCTCTCTCTCTCTCTCTGTCTCTGTCTCTCTCTCTATATATATATATGTATATATACTTTTTTTTCCCTTCATTTTTCCCTTATCAACTCATAGATGAGGAGTTAAAAATGAAAACCTCTGGAGTATTTGCAGCTTGTCTGTTTGCCTAGATTGTTGTTCGGTGCCCTCCACTCTGTTCTGACTCATAGCAACCTGTATAGGGTGTCCTAGGAGCTCCTGGTGGGTTTGAACTATCAACCTTTTGGTTAATAGCCCAGTGCTGATCATACAGGATCACATCAGGACTGTACTGGGTGGGGGGAAATATACTAGATCCAGTGAAGATAGGCTTTTCCCCACCAGCTCTGCCAAAGAAAAAAATAGCGTGTGGCTTGTGCTATATATTTATCACATAGTATTCATACTTTGGTTTACAAAGAGGAAAAAAACCCCAAAACCTTCCAAAAAGTTGCTTGTAAAGTTTGTGTGTGTTTACCATCCATAGAGCCGTATTCAAAGTGGAGAGTTTGCAAGATAAGCCTTTCAGAAAGCTACAGCTCTTTTGGTCTTTTTAACTTCTTCTCCCAGCCACACCAGCCTTGATGGCTGTCACCCAGGATGAGTGACAATCTGATGTAGAGATGTGCAGGCTGCCAGTTTGAAAACACAGATAACGAAGTAGCACAAACATCAAGCATCCTGCCTCACTGGATTACGTTTAAAGGAGGTTAAAAAGAAAACAAAACAAAACAAAAAAAACCTGAATTCATTTCATATGAACCACACCATCAGATAAATGCATTTGAAAAGCCAGTTTTGAATCAGAGACTCAAGATTGCTGTTTCCAGGCAGTTCCTTTGTACCTCAGTTTACTGTGAGCCTGTCTTCAGTGCAGTATACCGTCCATGAAAGAAAGCAGTGATTGTCTCTGTTGCTCATGACCTTATTTGAATCATGTAGTCCAGCGGCTTAGATGTTTAAGAATTTACTAAAAAAGTTTTTCAAAGTGTTTGTAACCATACACATGCCAGTGTCTAATTTGTAACATGAAAATGATCGAATTTGTTGTCAAAATAGACAAAAACAGTATTTTTCAGTCTTGTCAATCTTCTGTCCAGAGGCGAGTAGCTTTTGGGTTCCTCCGTGAGCCTCTAGTATCATTCACACTCCCTATTCTGCGTTCCTTCAACATGGAAGCCACAGGAGCTAAAGCTTGAATTCATCTGTGTGTGGCTGGCCTTCCACTCTTAACCTCAGCTCTTCTTCTTTCTCCTGGTCTCCATTTTTCATAAAAGAGAGCTGCAGGGATACTGGAATCAGAAAGACATTTAGTTGCAGATCAAAAAATAGTTTTCTACCGTATTTCTGTAAGTAAATAAAGGAGTACATCTACAACAATTATGTCATAGGTTTATGATTTCTTTTGAGAAAATAATTATAAAAGTTTTATGCAGTTGTTGTGTTATGTACTGTGGAATCAGTTCTAATTCATAGCATCCCTGTCTATACACAACAGACCCAAACACTGCCTGGTCCTGTGCCATCCTTACAATTGTTGTTACATTTAAGCCCATTGCTGCAGCCTCTGTGCCAATCCAGCTTCTTGGGATCGACCTCCGTTTCATTGACTGTCTACTTCATCAAGCATGATGTCCTTTTTCAGAGACTGGTCCCTCCTGATAACTTTAATGAAGGATGAGGGACAAAGTCTGGCCATCCTGGTTTCTAAGGAGCATTCTGGCCGTACTTCTCACAACACACAAATTTGTTTGTTCTTCTGGCAGTCCATGGTACTTTTAATATTCTTCTCCAAAACCATCATTCAAATGTATCAATTCTTCTACTGTCTTCCTTATTCATGATCCATCTTTCACATGCATATGTGGCAATTGAAAATACCAGGCCTTGGGTCAGGCGCATCACTAGAAGACTTCAAAGAGTTCATGGAAAATGTAATGAAAAGACAGTGGAATTTCTCCACAGACTGTTGAAGAAGCCCCTTGTGTATGTTTTAATTCTAATGTTCCCTTCCCTAACTGTAGCTCTCATTACGCACTAGAAGTGCTTGCAGAAAAAGTAGACCCTAGCAGGATAGGCGGTTCAAGCTCTCTAGCTTGCTACTCGGAAACCCTATACAGGGTTGTTATGAGTTGGAGCCGACTTGACAGCACTTGACAACAGATACAATAAAAACCCCCAGAGAGGACTTTTGATGCGGCACTGTAGGATCAACACTGGACTGAGAACCACAAGGTTGGCAGTTCACACCTACCAGTTGCTCCTCAGAAACCCCATATAGGGTTGCCATCACTCAGAACCAACTTGACGGCACTTAACAAAAATAATAACCTTCAGAGATAGGAGTACTGGCATGGCTGCTGTAGGATAAGCACTGAACTGCTCACCACAAGGTTCAATGTTTAAACACACTAGCCCGTTCCTCAGAAACCCTTTATAGGATTGCTATGAGTCGGAACCCACTAGACGGCACTTAACAACTACGAACTCCAGAGATGCTGATTGAGTTGGAAGGGGGTGGAGTCGGGTCAGGGGCATTTTTTACAAGAGAGAGGAGATAAAATCTTGGTATTATATTTACTTGCATCACATCCTGAACCACTGGTAACTGTTGTAGTGTTTCTCCTAATTGGTGTTGCTTGTACTGAAAATTTGCAATTTGTTTCCATTGGAACTTGGAGCCCTTTTAACAGCAGGAAATGTCGATGTGCATATTTGACATTCTAAAGCATGGTTTCTCAGACTTTCCTGTGTATGTGAAGCACTTGATCTAGTTAATATGCAGATCCCTATGCAGCCTTCTGGGGTGAGCCCTGAGCCTACACTTCTAAACACCTTCCTTGGCTGATAATGTTGCTGATCCTTGGATCACACTTTGAGAATCAAGGGTGTTGAGGACTGGTGGTTCTGTTAGACAGCTCTCACTTTGACAACAGGATTCACATTTAAACAATTTCAGGACCTGTAGGCACTGTAGGATAAACACTGTTAGCAAACCATGAGGTCAGCATTCAAACCCACTAGCCGCTCCTCAGAAACTCTAACAGGGTCCCTGTGAGTCGGGATCCACTCGATGGTGGTGGGTTTAGGCACACTCCAAGAAGCTTGGTGATGCAGTGGTGAAAGCACTTGGCTGTTAACTAAAAGGTTGGTGTTTCGAACCCCCAAGCTGCTCTGTAGCAGGAAGATGTAGTGGTCTGCTTTGGTACAGATTCAGTTTTGGAAACCCTATGGGCACGTCTACTCTGTCCGATTAGGGGCACTGTGAGTTGGAATGAACTCCCTGGCAGTGGGTCTGGGTTGTTGTGTTTTGTGTTTTAGGCACTCTCCTCCAACTCTGTTCCTTTAGCTCAGCAGTTTACTGAGCTGACCTAGTCCCTTTGCATAGCTCTTTGTTCCTGAGGTCTGAACCCCGTGAACGACCCTTTGTATCAGTTGCCCGGGCCGTTCTGGGTTTGTGGATACATTTGTACTGATTATTATAAATAAATTATGAAAATGAATAGAGGTTGCAAATCATTGTGCTTGTGGGTAGTACCTCTCCCATGATAATGTTGCTCTTGTTAGCTACCAGCAAGTGGTGTGCAACAGAGCGAAATACCACCGGGGCCTGCATTTGGTGGCAGACCAGTCCATTGGGATGCACAGGGTTTTCATCGAGTTTCACAAGTAGATCACCAGGCCTTTTTGTTAGTCTGTTTAGTCTGGAAGCTCCATTGTAACCTGTTTAGGATCAAAACACCACACACATCTCAGCTGACAGATGGTGGCTGTATACAAGGTGCGTTGGCCAAGAACTGGAAGGGGAGACTTGTACCACTGATCCACCTCATGCTCTTCTAATCACAGATAAGCCTTGTATTTGCAAGAGTGGAGTAACAAAATTTATATTAATGGATGCATGTTTGGTGAAGAGCTTTGGGAATTTCAGATAGGGAAGTTTCCAGCTTATTTCTGATGGTTGGTTCATAAACATGTACATCTTTGTGATGATATTGAGAAAGAGCATCAAACCAGGGAAGTAGGGATCTGGTTTCAGTTCTAACTGAGCCTTATTATTTTAAACTTGCTTCATTTTCTGTTTTTCCCATACTAAATAAGTAAATACATATGAAGTGCTTTGAATTTTTTAAAGACTAGGACGACAAATTCAACTATCCTGAGGAAAATAATGGATCCTTAATGATAGCTCCGAGGGAGAAAGATGAGGCTTTCTACTCCCGTAAAGATTTACACCCTCGGAAACCCTGTACAGGGTCGCTATGGGTCGGACCCGACTCGATGGCACTTAACAACAACAACAACAAATGATAGTTACTCTTCTGCTTGGTGGAATTCCTGGGTGGGGCAGTTAACACGCTTGGTTGCTCATTGAAAGACTGCAGGCTCAAGTGCACCCAGAGTGCTTCGGAAGAAAGGCCTGGTAATCTAGTTCCAAAAGATCAGCTGTTGAAAACCCTATGGAGCAGTCTACTGTGATACACTTGGGGTCATTGTGAACCAAGCTGACTTAGTGACAACTGGTTGTTCGTTTCGTTGGCAGTGGAAATCACTACAAAGGCTTTAGCAGAATCCCCCAACACTACCCGCCCCCCCCCCCCAGGAGGAACAGGCAGACAATTTAAAGAGCTGATGATTGATACGTAAAAATGATAATCGTAGGCATATACTAAAACCAGGCCAAACTGGTGATCACACCATGGGGGGCAACCTCTCACTTGATAAGAATTTTGCCTCATCCAGCACATGGGTCACCCTCTGCAGCCCTCTTGCCCCATGGTGACCACCAGCTGTCACCCACACACATTCCCTGGCACCCCCTTCTAGTTGAGAAACATTGGGTCAACTAAAGAGAAAGTGTGCTCTGGGTTCAAATTTTGGTTGGAGCTAATTTTGGTTTGGTTTCTCTCTTCTCTGATTAAAAGAGGTCGTGATTAAGGGAGAAATCTGGGCAAAGGGTGGCTAAAGGTTATGTTACTTTCTCCTGATGTAGGTGGGCTTCATGCTTTGCGTATCTGTCTGTTGTTTTTAGGTGCCGTCAAGTTGGTTCCGACCCATAGTGACCCTGTGTAGGGTTTCTGAGGAGCAGCTGGTGCGCTTGAACCGCCAACCTTGCAGTTCAAATGGCTTTGCAGTCTCATGCATTAACCCACATCTGTCTAGTATGTTGCATATGACTTAGAGACCAAACAGTACTCTTGTACTCACCATTTGTGACTTCCTTGATACTACTCTCCTCTATGAAGACTTCCATATTGTCAGATGATTTTGTTAATTTCACCACCCATCACACAAGTACACTTCTGTTGTCATTGAAAACTCACCGTGACACTTAACTTTGATGACCATGACACATGCTCATCAAAATGAAAAGTTTATGTTTTCACCAACTTGAGGACATTAATTGTATTAGCCATTGGGGTAATAAAGGCTCTTACAAGAATGGGTTTTTTGTTCTTAAATCACACTTCATTAAATAGCAGATTGGTTAATGATACCCACTCTAAGGTCCTCACAATTTTAATCTTTTCAGATGGATCCTAATAGAATATCGGAAGATGACACCGACTGCTTTAAGAGACTTTTCAAACTCCATGAAAACGCGGATTTGCAAGACTCAGCTCTGGAGAGTCAAAACACAAGATTAGTACCCGACTCGTGTAGGAGAATTAAACAGGCCTTTCAAGGAGCTGTGCAAAAGGTAAGTTCTCACTGGGGATGATGAGTCAAGGGCCCTTACTGACCTCGCCAATACTGGAAAGTAAAACAGCTGAGTGCTGCGGACCCTGTGCTATTTCTTATCCTCTGAATTTATGCACGACCTAGAGAGAATTTCTTTAAAGGCAATAATTGGTGATGATTGATTATGGAGACCAGAGATGTCCATGCAAATATTCTTTTCTTTTTTTCAGGGGATGATTTTAAACTTACACTTGGAAAGAGGACACAGTGGTTTGTGGTTAGCTGATAGGTCAGTTTGCTGGTTTGAATTCACTGACCTAGAAGCCGTCCACTCAGTCCACAGGGCTTTCCGGTAGCTATTTCTTTTATACCTGGTTTTGTAATGGTAGGATCCCCTAGTCCACATCTGTGGGTCCAGGCTCTGATGAGAAGCAATTGTAGCTCCTCTTTTGTTGTTACCTGTGCTGAGGAGATATGCAAGCATAGCAGGAAATGATATGGTAGGAGAGATGGAAATTTCGGTATCCAGTTCCTGGGTGAGAAGGGAGGAGACTGGGCCAGAGAAGATAATGACTTCACTTATATCCAGAGCAGCAGTCGAGAAACACTGTAGTAGCGGGCTGTTTCCCTTTCTTCGCAAACCCACTTGAAAGTCCTGCTTTTTTTTTTTAAATTAGTAATTCTGTTACTTTTTGACTCTACACAAAGACAGCAATCCTAATGCATGCAGACTGCATGCATTACTTACATGCAGGTACACCTGCATGCATTCATGCATCTACTTCATCATACCTACCTCTGTTTTGTACCTACTAATCGAGACAAGCTGGAGTCCTGGTGTGGCACTGTAGGATCAGCACTGGACTGCTAATCTCAAGGTCGGCAGTTCAAACCCACCAGTTACTCCTTGGAAACCCTATACAGGATTGCTGTGAGTTAGGACCAACTCGACTGCATTTAACAACAAAACAACATTTGAGAAAGGAGGAGTCCTAGTGGCTGTGTAGGATAAGCACTGGATTGCTACAGCAAAGTCAGCAGTTCAAACCCACCAACCACTCTGCGGACGAAAGATGAGGTTTTCTGCTCCCAAAAGATTTACAGCTTCAGATACCATATATAGGGTCACTGTAAGTCACTATTGACTTTATGGTGGTGAGTTTTGATTTTAATACAGAAAGGTTAGCAGCCTGAGCCTATCTGAAACACCTTGGAAGAAATGCCTGGAGATCTGCTTCCAAACAGGCACAGCCGTGAAAAGCCTACGGGGCTCAGTTCAACAGATGGGTTGCCAAGAATCAGAATTAACTTAATGGCGACTGTGTTTTATTTTTATTTTGTTTTTTTACAAAGGGTACCTTTGCTCATCTCAGAGTAAATTCTGAAATTGCCAAAGCCCTTAAATCTAAATTGAATTTTAATTTAGTTTATTTTTTTTTTTAGAAAATCATATATAGTAATAGCATCTTTTCCTCCAACTCATCAAGATGCTGTATAAGGTTTCCAAGGATCATCTGGTAGGTTTGAACTGCTGATCTTGTGCTTAGCAGTTCATTGCTTATCCTATAGTGCCATGCCGAGACTTATCACGGCTTCTTAGATAAACTGGTATTGTTCTCCTTGAAATGGAGAAAAACTTCTTAATTCCATTAGTGCCCTTGTTCTTAAAAACTATCCATTGAGTTTCTTATGAAAGAATAAGTGTGTTAGTTCAAGATTCTTTTGAAAACAATTTTAAGGTGAATAGATATCATTAACATTTACTAATGGGAATTCAAGACCAATTTAAATAGCTCATGGGAGAAAAGCAGACTGAGAAGTGACTGAAAACATTGGAAAAATCTCTTTCTGATATTTAAAATCTACTAGAAATTTGAACTGGATGTTGTTGTTATGTGCCACGGAGTCAGTTCTGACTCATAGCGACCCTGTACTGGGTATCCAAGGCTGTAAATCTTTATGGGAGCAGAAAGCCTCATCTTTCTCCCATGGAACAGCCAACTGGTAGTTTCGAACTGCCGACCTTGAGGTTCGCAGCCCGATTTGTAACCACTACGCTACCAGAGCTCCTTATAACTGGATAGAATCTTGATATTATCATAAGAATCTCAAACCAAAAATTGAATAATGATGAGAAAATAAAGGCATTCCCTTCAAAGTTACGAAACAGCAAAGATGCTTACTGGCCCCATGTTATTTAAAAATTTTCCGAAGGTGCTAGCCAATTCAATTACACAAGACAATAAAATGTGAAAAATATATACTGCAGAGTAGAAGGCAGAATTTGCATGTGGTATGATTGTTGTTGTTAAGTGCTGTTGAGTCGGTTCTGACTCATAGCGGCCCTGTGTAGGGTTTCTGAGGAGTGGCTGATAAGCTTGAACCGCCAACTGAAAGTCTATAGGCAAAAAAATAAAATAAATTGTTGTGTAAAAATGAATAAGTATGAAAACCTTTCCTTGAGATTTTACAGTAGTGGTCTAATACAATATTTGTCCTTTTGTGATCAACGATTTCACTCAGCATAATGTCCTCTAGGTTTATCCATGTTATGAGGCGTTTCCAAGATTCAGTGTTGTGTAGTATTCCATTGTGAATATGCACCAAAGTTTGTTTATCCATTCTTCCATTGATGGGCATTTAGGCTGTCTTCATCTTTTTGCTGTTGTGCTTAAGGACAAAGCTGAGAAGGGGTAGGAAGAAGAGTGGAATTGAAGTAAGAACCATAGTGAGGAAGTGTAATTACTGTTGTTCCAGGGAAAGGGTTTTAATCATTGAGATGAAACAAAGTGCATGATTTCCTGAATGTAAAACTGATGATCTTCTCTGTAAACCTTCACTCAATTCTCAATAAAAAGCTTCAAAAATACGTAATAAGCAGTTGTTGTTGTTGTTAAGTACCATGGAGTCGATTCCGACTCATAGAGACCCTGCACAGGGTTTCCAAGGCTGCACATCTTTACGGGAGCAGAATGCCTCATCTTTCTCCCACGGAACAGCTGGTAGTTTCGAACTGCCAACCTTGAGGATAGCAGCTCGATTTGTAACCACTATGCTACCAGAGCTCCTTATAATTAGTAGCTCTCCCCATTTCAAACAACAGCTAGAAAATACGATGATTGAACGACTTAATTAATAATAAAATAGGATTGGATAATGTAAAGACATACTATATATTACTGAAGGGGGGGCGGGGCAAAAGAATTTTTGGATCAATCCATGAAAAAGAACAAACAGCTTTGAGTAGACTTTATGTGAATCTACATGTGAACGTGCTTGTGTATATAATACAAAATTATTGTAAATAAGTAGGTATGTTTTGGATTATTAAAAAATAATGTTAAGACAATTTATTAAGTATTTTTTAAAAGTTATAGCCTTACTTTATGCACTAAGTAGAAATATACCTCTTAAATCCAAGTAGTTTCTAAGTTCAATTTCATTATACTAACATTAATATTAAATATAGATTTATATTAATAGGTATCTATATCAATATGTGGATTTGTTGTTAAGTTCTGTCGAGTCGGTTGCAACTCATAGCAACCCCGTATAGGGTTTCAGAGGCATTAAGTCTTCAAAGGAACAGAAAGCCTCATCTTTCTCCCGAGGAGCGACTGGCAGGTTCAAACCACAAACCTTGTGGTTCACAGTTCAGTGCTTATTGTATATATATTGTTGTTGTTTTGTGCCGTGCTTATTGTATATATATTGTTGTTGTTGTTATGTGCCGTGGAGTCGGTTCCGACTCATAGCGATCCTGTACAGGGTTTCTGAGGCTGTAAATCTTTATGGGAGCAGAAAGCCTCATCTTTCTTCCGTGGAAGAGCTGGTAGTTTCGAACTGCTGACCTTGCGGTTCGCATCCCGATTCGTAACCACTACGCTACCAGAGCTCCTTATTGTGTATATATATACACATACATACATGTGGGGGCTCCAAACAGTTCATGGAAAACGGATTTAATAGTTTTTTTCCAGTAACTTTATAAGCCTCCTTGTGTGTGTGTGTACACCCAGATATAAGTACCACCCATTGTCAATTTGGTACCAATTCACAGAGAACCTGTAGGACAGAGTAGAGCTACCCCATAGAGTTTCCAAGGGTGTAATCTTTAAAGAAACGCGTCGTTCTCTCTCAGAGTGACTGCTGGGTTCAAACCTCCAACTTTTTGGTTAGTAGTGGAGCGCCTAATTCTACTGCACTACAAGAACTCATACACAAAGGGGCTTTTTTTTTTTTCAAAAAATTCATAGGAAAATGAAATTAAAAGATAAAGGAATTTTTCAATGAACTCTTTGAAGCCCCTTCTTATGTGTGTATGTACATACACATACATATGCATTTATAAGTAAATAGATAAATTGTATATATATATATATATATATAAATATATTTCTTGTTGTTGTTAAGTGCTGCTGACTCAGTTCTGACCCATAGCAACCCTGTAAAGGGTTTCTGATGAGTGGCTGGTGAGTTTGAACTGCCAACTTTGCTGTTCAAACCCACCATGTGGTCCAGTGCATTATCCTGCAGTGCCACACCAGAACCCCATATATATATGTATATATGTGTGGTGTGCCACTGTGGGTTAATGTGCTGGACTGCAAGGGCCATTTGAACCACAAGGTTGGTGGTTCAAGTTTACCAACTGTTCCTTAGAAACTCTATACAGGGTCACTATGGGTTGGCACCAACTAAACAGTACTTAACAACAACAAGTTATATATATATGTATTGTTGTTGTTGTTATGTGCCGTGGAGTCGGAACCAACTCATAGCGACCCTGTACAGGGTTTCCGAGGGTGTAAATCTTTACGGGAGTAGAAAGCCTCATCTTTCTCCCGCGGAGCAGCTGGTAGTTTCGAACTGCTGACCTTGCGGTTCACAGCCCGAGTCGTAACCATTACGCTACCAGAGCTCCTTCATATATATGTGTATTCTAAGGAAATAATAGCATTTCATCATCTCCTTTTTTAACGTTTTACTTGAAAATAATTTCAAACATACAGCCCAGTT